CGGTTTTTAACTCCCCTATGGTGATCTTCCCATTTAACATTTCCTTTTCTTCTTCCGGAATTTGAGGAAGGTTGGCTTCCAACAAATACTGTTCTACCTTGTTTAACTCAATTCCTTCATTTTTGTAAAGACATTCATAAAATTTTCTTATGCTTTCTAATTTGTCTTCTTCCTTCGTCAACAGGATGCCCTGTGGATCTTCTAAGGCTAGTATTTGGTTTTTTTCCTTCTCTTTTTTTAATTTATATGCCAGCCATCTCCCCGACTTGTTAGCGTTCTCGAAACAATAGTGCTTAGATCTTCTTATTTTTTGAGCTACCTCCTCCTGGTCCAATAGATTCAGTCTATGTCTCATCATCAACCACTGTTGTTTCGTCGCCTCATCTCCCGGTCGTTGCTGTAATTCAGCCTCAGTTTGTAATAATTTTTGAGTAAGTTCTTCTCTATTCTTTCTTTTTTCCTTATTTTTAAAGGCAGTATATGAGATGGCTACTCCTCTGACATAGGCCTTCATAGTGTCCCACACAATTTCTTTGGCTGTCCCTCGATTTCCATTTTCTAAGAAGAAGCGTTTGATTTCTTCATTCAATTTGAGTGTGAACTCTTTTTCATTTAGGAGATTGGTCCTTAAGCTCCATCTCTGTTGTATTTTCTTCGTATCATGGGACCAACTGATTTCAAGGAGCTTATGATCTGCCCAAGTATTGATGCCCATGTTAACTTTCTTGATTTCTAATGCCAATTTTCTAGTAACCCAAACCATATCGATTCTGGACCAGGAGTTCTGTGGGATGGAGTAAAATGTATATTGTCTGTCCTGGGGGTGTAAGGTACGCCACATGTCAATTAAATTTATCTCATCCACCAAATCAAAGAAAATCTTTGGTAAGGGAGGTCTTTTATTCTTTTTGGTTATATCGCACTTATAATCAAGCTTTGGATCTACAATTCCATTAAAATCCCCTAGCATACATATTTCAAGATGTGCCCAATTTGCCAACTGTTCCTGCAGTTTCCTATAGAATTTCCCTTGTTTTTTATTCGGTGCATAAACCCCTACTAATAACAGTCTAGAGTTACCTCTCATTATTTCAACTATGAGTATTCTCCCTTTTTCATCTTTATATTTACATTCTGCCGTTATTCCTTTCTTAACATAGATAGCAACCCCCCTTTTCCTTTTCTCAGCTAGTGAGGAAAATACTTTACCAAATTTACAGTAATTTAAATATTCGGCTTCATCTTTTTTTATATGGACCTCTTGGATGCAGATAATATCGGGATTTTGTTTCACCAATTTCGACAGTATTATCCTTCTTTTTTTGTAATCGTTTAATCCATTCACATTTACCGATATGATCTTGGTATCGTTCATTCCTGAAATTAGTTTCTAGACTCTTGTTCTTATTTACCTTTTAAAGTTACTGCTCTCACTGGCCTTGATTTTTTCCCTCTTTCCTCAGTATCCTCCTTTTTCTTCTCCTCTTCTATGTCTTCCCTAGTAATTTGCTCTTGGGATATCTCTTCTTCCGTATTTGCTATCTCATTATCCTCCTTACTGGTTTGTTCCTCCTCTCCTCCCCTTAGTTGTTCTAAAAAGTCTTGAGCATCACTTAGACAATCAATTCTTATTTTCCTCCCTTGCCAGGAAATTTGCAGTCCTTCCGGCAAAAGCCACCTAAAAATTATATTTCTCCTGTTTAGATGATTTGTCAAAAACCTATAGTTTCTCCTCCTTTCCCTCACTCTTCTCGGAATTTGTTTCAGAATATTAATTTCTTTTCCCCCGTAGGTAATTTTTTCCTCCCGCGCTATATTATACAGAATATCCCTAACTTTTTTTCTAGCAAAGCGCACATGGACCTCTCTGGGGAGTCTGTTTCTTCTTACGTAATTTGTCTGGACTCTGTACACCTCATCGATCTCACGAATTATTTCCTGCTTGTCTTGCTGCAGAGTTTCTGCAATCAATTCCGCTATCTTATCACCTAAATCCTCATCTTTATCTTCCAGGATGTTCTGGAAACGCAAGAAAAATGAGGCCTTGTCCATCTCAAGTTGGATCAGCGCGTCTTCCGTTTCTTTGTTTTGTGCCGACAAAGTTTGGTCTACTGTGTCCAGTTTTTTCTCGTTTTTTTCAATTCTTTGTTCTGCTTTTAAAATTCTATTTTCGTTACTAGCAATAGCAGTTTGAATCTCATTCATTTTAAAATCAAGAGCATGGATGTCTGATTTTAATTCGGAGTGACTATTCAAAAGTTTTTCTTGCATCGCAAGCATTGTTTCTTGGATTGACTGAAGGGATGCTTGTACCGTTTGTAGTATAGGAGTTATAGGGGGTTTGTCTAGTTTCTGGAGACCTTCTACTGATTTCTGGGTGGCTGGGGAAGACATCGCCAAGGTAGGTATAGATGTCGCTTTTTTAGCAGTTTTTGCAATTGTGGAGGTCAGACTTGCCATTTCTTTCAGAACCAATTTTTGGTCTCTTATTATCTCCTCTATCTTTCTCCAAATTCTCATCCAGTGGCACTTGCCACGTTTTCTCTGAGGAGCTTTCTTAGACCTTTATTTCGCTCCTTTATTGGTCCTCTCTGCACTCTCAGTAAGTTCCAATTAATACTAGGTTCTAAATTTCCAAAGTACTGTAGTGGGCTACTATAAAGTTTCCAGCAATTAACAATCACTAATTATACAATTATATAGTTCTCTTCCAAATAGGTAAACAAAATATCGATACAAATCAATTAATCACTTAGTAAAATCTAAATTCAATCTTAGAAAAGAGTAAATAATATATATAAATTGTTAAAGGCTAGCAATACAAGTAATTATTTTAAGTTAATAAATTCTATTTTCAGTTCCTGATAGGTAGTATTGATATAAATAAATACAGATAGATATTCTAAATTATATAAGTTGACCACAATAAGTTAATGAACTAATAAATTCTAAGTTCAGATCTTAATAAAGGTTGGATATAAATAGATATAATAGATATAAATAAGTATAAATAGGTATAAATAAATTACAATAAATATAAATAAATATAAAATCCTATATAATAATTTAATTAGTAAGATACAAATCCAACCCTTTTTTCCCCCCTTAACTAGTAATAATTATAGAGATCTAAATTCTCATATATAATCAACCTTTTTTTTTTTGTATATATCTATAAAATGGCTTAAGAGGTCTAATTAATATTAATTATAACATTATAAAGTTAGAGAGAAAAACAGAGTTCACTTATTAATATCACAGATACTCAAGAGAAGGATAGGAAGGATATAGACATATAAATATATGGGTATAAGTATATTGTTTTATAGTATTTATAGTATTTACGGAATTTTAGAATACAAATAGGAGATCTTCAATTTCCCACTTTGCTGGGCTCCAACCAAACTCGATGGTAATAGTCTCTGCCAGAGCGTCTTCTTGTTCAACCTCTGCTGTTCCACTCTTCCGATTCAATGGAAGCACTTCCTGTTTGCTGAAAGCCTATTTCTTCTGCTTTCTTCCACTCAATCCCAATACCAAAAGCCAGCCACACCAATAGTCTTTCCTTTTTCTTTTACTCTCTCACCGCACCGCACTCTCCAAAGCTCCTTACAAACGCAATCCGCTCTCCCCGTTTTCTCGTCTGCTCTTCGGCTTGTCGGATCGCCGGGAGTACAAGCTGCTCCACCCTCTCCGTCTCTGCCTCTCGCCGCTCTGAGCACTCCTCTCCCGACACCACCGATCCCCTCTCTGCCGCACGATCGTAGGTATAGGGGAATAGGCTTAAATCTGTCACCGCACCTCTGATCTTCTTCTTAGCTTCCCGTCTTTGTTGGCTATTGCTGCTTCGTGCCCGCCATCTATGGCCGGCTCACCGCGTTGGCTAGGCAGAGCCGCCTGGTCCAGCGAGAGGTGATCGCACCCACTTCCCGCTTGCCTGGCTTCCTCTTTTGCCCGCAGGGCTCTCCGGGTCCCGCGTCCCCCAAGGGGATCCCCAAAACGCGATGTTTAAAGGTGTTGAGGAGCAGCGAGCTCTCACTCCACACCTTGTCGCTGCAAGTCACCAACCGGAAGTCCATCATATAGCAATTTAACTTGGTTCTTATTACAGAGCTTCCAGTTTTGGGCAATCATGAATAACCTGGAACTAGAAGTTGACCTAACTGAGAATGATAAAGCTATGATAGGCCACACTCTGGAAAGCATGTTTAGTTTAATATGTTATATATTGGGAAACAGGATGGCACTATAATAACAGCATCATATTTTGATTAAAACAAATCCCAAAGCAGAAAATATCATACCTAGATTATCTACATTATTCATGGATGATTCTGACCCAAGTGATGAGGATGCTGCAATGGTTTAGGTGTAGGTTAAGGGGCATGCATAAGTGCACCAGCATGCCTACCGTCCCTGTCCTAATATTCCTTTTTACTTACTCTTTTCATGTATTCAAATTACGTTTATACTTTTACCTGTTATGTTATATATACTTGACAAAATAAACTTATGACTTAGGTGATTTGGATTTAATTTGTAAATCCAAGATTTACACCCATGTAGCAGGAATGCAGTGGCTCAGGGGCTAAGATGTTGAGCTTGTCGATCGAAAGGATGGCAATTCAGCAGTTCAAATTCCTAGTGCTGCGTAACAGGGCGAGCTCCCGTTACTTGTCCCAGCTTCTGCCAATCTAGCAGTTCGAAAGCATGTAAAAAATGCAAGTAGAAAAATAGGGACCACTTTTGGTGGGAAGGTAACAGCGTTCTGTGAGCCTTTGACATTTAGTCATGCTGGCCACATGACCACGGAGACGTCTTCGGACAGCGCTGGCTCTTCAGCTTTGAAATGGAGATGAGCACCGCCCCCTAGAGTCGGGAACTAACACATATGTGCGAGGGAAACCTTTACCTTTACCTTTTAGCAGTGTATGGATGCATATTTTTGTGTATGTGCATACACACAGACATGCAAATGAAAACATTATTTTATTTCCAAGGATAAAAGCTACATCTAGACATTCCAAAAAATGAATGAAAACAGCAACGTGCTTGAGTTTCAAGACAAAGGAAAACAAAAGGCAAAAGAAAATGGAGGTGAGTGAAATTATTTGTGGAAATCTAGAGGGAATCTAGAGAATCTAGAGGGAAAGATGGGGGACAACATTACTAACTGGCAAATGAACACTTTGAAATTTGCCAGGACCTCTATGAAGCCATTTGACAATAGACAACCCCTCACATTCACAGGAACTGTTTTTATGAGAGAATCTACAGCAAAAATTGAAAGTTATCTATCAGCTCAAAAAGTTTGCATCTCTCTGACCTAATGAGTTCAAGGCAGAAATGATTCACACTTCCAAACTTAGCAGTTCTGCTACTATGCCAATATTATTTATATTATGATACTCAGATTAATAACTAGTTCTGTCTTGTGTACATGATATGTGTCTGTGTGGGTGGAAGTTCCAATTCCCTAGATTTCATTTCTTATAAATTGGTCTAATATCAAGGTTTCATATATAACTATCACACATCTCAATGATATTTAAAATAAATGCAGCAGTACAACTCAGGCTAACAGTGACAGTTTTTCATATGTGCACTATTTTATGTGGGTTCATTAATTAAAGTTGGATTCCTTCACTTGAAATAGGAATATCAAAAGAGCATTTAACTGCACAGAAACTAGTTTAAGCAATTCTGACTGAATGATTTAAACAGCATGTCATTTTCTTATATAAAAATTAAGCTGAAAATCTTTAAAGACTTAAATTTTACCACATATAAGCAAATTTTTAATGATGCATTATTTGACATATCTTCTGCTGTGACATATAAAACATCTCAGAAACAAACAGGAATAATTTCAGAAGGTATTCCTATTTATTTCAACATCACTGCAGTTAGGGGATTGCATGATAATAAGGAGAACTTAGAAAGATAGTTCAGGAAGCCATAAAAACCAGAGAATGAAATTCAATAAAACCAAACCAGTAATAAAAGAGGAATTAACAAACTCCATTTAAAGCTATTTTTCTATTTCATTCAAGGGTAAGACTAAAGCTAATGGAACAATGACACACTGTGAAAAGGGCTAAAATTGGGAATTCCAAATGTTATAAACTCTAAGTTTCATCAACCCCAGACAATATGGGAGATGTCATCCAACAGTTTGGGCAGGTCCAAAGATCTCTGACTAAAGATGAGACTATTCTACAAATCTCTGCAATTTGCAAGCATTCAACTATAGATACAATAAACTCATAATCCCTTCCTATTAGCTAAGGTGGCAGTGATCGAGCATAACATTCCAAATATGGACATGGCACCAGTTTTTCTGCCTCCTCACCAAAGTAAAATAAAATAAGTGAAGGTTTAAACCCAATGATTAAAGAATTTATGCACAATACTTATCGACTGTCCTAAATACTTGAGAGAGCCAATTTGGCATTGGTTAAGGCATCAGATTAGAAACCCCAGGATACTATGACTTCTACTCCAGGGATGGTATTCACTTACATTCACTACCAGTTCACAAATGTGAGCATGTGTGCGCCTCCTCCACACGTGCGCAGACCATTCTGCACATGTGCATAGGGTCAAAAACAGGACCTGATGACATCCAGGTGGGTGGGCGGAGCCTCTCACTGCTGGCGCTACCGGATCACGCAATCCGGATAGAGCCGGCTGAATTTCACCACTGTTCTACTCCCACTCTGGGCACAAAGCTAGCTGCGGGAACCTGCTCCTGTTATTTTCTCCCAGTTCTGCAAAGAAAGCAATGACAAACCAGTTCTGAAAAACCTTGCCAAGAAAACTGCAGGGATTTGGCCAGGCAATCCTCCAAGAATTGGACACAATTGAACAAAACAAGAACAAAAAATTACCTGAGCTTCTAAGCGGGTGATAATTGTCAAGTTTATCTTAATAGAGTATCCCAGGCTGTTAGGAAGTGGTTTGCCATTGCCTCTTTCTTCCTAGGGCTGAGAGAGAGTAACTGATTCAAGATCTTCTAATTGGCTTTGTGCCTAAGATGTGATTAGAATTCACAATCTCCCACTTTCTAGTCTGGCACCTTAACCACTACACTAAAATGGATCTTTTTTAGATTGATTACAATAAAGCATGTGACAATTTCCAGAAAGTTGAATTATGAAAAATTTTGTGATGTTTGATATCAATCAAAATATAAATTCAATCAGATAGTTGAAGCAAAGTTGTAATATTAAGTTGCCTGTAGCCAATGGCTTGCTTATCTCTTTTCAAGAGCTTTGAGGGTGTTCAACAATTGATGTTGAGCCTGTCTTAATAGTTATGGATGTTATTATTGTTGCAATTCTTTTGTAAAATTGTATTTTCCAGCTGAGGGGATCCTGTGATTGAGAAGGGACAAAATAATAAAGACTAGTCTCCCTTCCCCAATCCCTGTGTAATATTCCCATTTACAAAATTCATGCACAATTCCCATTTAGAGAATTCATGAATAGTCATATTATTTTTTTAAGAAATATCTTAATTTCTTAATCTTAATCTAATTTCTTATTGAAGAAATTTATCATAATAGTTTTCAGAGGTTTTGTTTTTACTTCCTGAATGTGAAATAACATAACTATGTACAGTGGTGGGTTTCAAAAATTTTTACTACCGGTTCTGTGGGTGTGGCTTGGTGGGCATGGCTTGGTGGCTGTGGCAGGGGAAGGATACTGTAAAATCTCCATTCCCACCCCACTCCAGGGAAAGGTTACTGCAAAATCCCCATTTCCTCTCAATCAGCTTGGACTTGGGAGGCAGAGAATAGATGGGGGCGGGGCCAGTCAGAATTTTTACTACCGGTTCTCTGAACTACTCAAAATTTTCGCTACTGGTTCTCCAGAACTGGTCAGAACCTCCTGAAACCCATCTCTGACTACATAGTATGATGGACTTGCAGGGCCGGCACAACATGTAACATGTTCAAACTGCTGCAATAGGACTGGGTGTTTTGTTAATATGATTTATTGGGTTAGGGATTTTCTGTCTTCACTGTGAATTGCATTGTGTTGAAGGGGGTGCACTGAGGGAACTCAACCAATCTCATTGTACATATGTTGTGCACTGACAATAAAGATTTGAAATGCCTATTTTCTCTCACAACCAGATGATTTCCTAGTGGTCTCCCATCCAAGTACTAATCAGATCCAAACTTGTTTAGATATCTGGAGATTAAGTCAAAGTTGTCTAAATCTTGCTCTCTACAGTTAACCGCATTAGCAGGCATGGTAGAAGAAGAAAAATAGGAAGTGACAGGGCAATGTGTAGCAAGTTTTTCTTTTGGCAAAACTGATTTGTGGCTTTTGATACTTCATGTTGTATTTCTGAATGTACAATATATAGGTCCTAACAAATATAATACCAAACAAATGTTACTTTTGTACTTTGTACAGCAACTGATCTGTACACAACTATTGAAATTTTCAAAGTTGATCTAGCCTTAGAAATAATTGTGGGTTGCCTCCATTCTTATTTCTGTGCTTTCAAATAGATTAAATTTCATGAGTGTTCTTTTTGTGTGTGGCAAATATAAACTGTGTAATGGAAATACAGGGAGAAAGAAATGAGGATTTCAATGAAGTACAAATCAATATACACTTATGAAATACCCAGTGTATACAGTATATATTAATATTCTCTCATATCTGCATTATCAATATTCTGAGGACAGCTTCAGATGTCATTACTAATGCTGGTATATTTATATGTTTTCTTTCCTAGGCGTTACTTAGCAAATGGAATGCTTGCTTCCACTGTTCCTAATCAACAAATGGATCATCTATAAATCTAGAAATTCCTCCAATAGTTTGCAAAGGCATATAGAATCCCATTTAAATGAAAAATATATAATTCAGGAATAAATTAAGTCTTTCCAGCTCTTCAGACTCTCTTTAAGTGGCTAACCAGTTAGGCTAGCATTTAGCAGGTTTAAAATAATGTTAAACCCAGTGCCCACCTGCAATTGCTGGCTGTCTCCCATTTTGGCCACTAGCCCACCTGCATTTATGGTGGATAAATTGTGAAGATTTCTTGCATTTTTACAGTTTAGTACAACATAATATTAAAAATCATATTGGCCAAAGAAGTGTCAGGGCCACTGCCAGCTGGTAGGAGAAAGGTTAAGCTTTCCCCTTCCTTGACCCTCTTTTTGGGGGGGAATAAGAAACATATCCAGAAGCATCAGTGGTGTAGTTAGAGAGGATCCAGTTTGCAACAGCTCCTATTCACATCTACAGGTAGCCCTTGATGTATCACAATTCATTTAGCGACTGTTTAAAGATACAATAGTGTTGAAAAAAGTGATTTATGACTGGTTCTCACACTTATAACCATCGCAACATCCCCGTGGTCACATGATCACAATCTAGACACTTGGCAACTGCTCTGCACGTAATGACAGTTGCAGTGTCCTATGGTAACATGATAGCCAGTTGCAACAGTTCCACCTGGCTTCTGACAAAGTCAATGGAGAAGCCAGCAGGGAAGCCAGCATGGTGATTACATGATGCCTCACTTAAGGACTACAGCAATATAGGTTGTAAAATTGGGTGCAGTTACTTGATGCCTCACTTAATGACTGCACCACTGTACTACATAATAACAAATGTTCTGGTCCCAACTGTGCTCATAAGTCGAGGACTACCTGGATGAGACTAGAGAATATCCTACCATCCAGTAGGGCAGGGTTGAGGGGAGTACAACTACCAGAAACCATCTTAATAAAGTGATTAAAGTGAACTAAAGTAGTTAAAGTGAAACCAGCATGGCAGCGTAAAGAACTCTCTGACAAATTGAAAGACAAAAAGGACAAGTATAAAATGTGGAAAGAGGGGCACATAACTAAGGCAGAATATCAGCAAATTGTTCTGACCCAGCCTTAACAAAAACAAGAAACAGACTGCTTGTCATGAAAAACCCCTCTTTATTTATCTCCTGTGAATTAATGGCATTCACATACTGAAAAATCCAGGCAATAGTCCTTCAAAGAGTTAACTGCAGTAACAGACCTTATCAGTTCCTTGCGATAATTGACAGGCAGTGAGCTCCCAGCCACAAAGCTGCAAATTAAGTTCTGACAAGTAGTCTCTGAGGCATGAAACATGATGAGCCAAATCTTCAGAAATCCGAACTGTTGTCTCCTACGACCACCACTCCCTTTTCCTTCTATTTATTCCCCAGCCAGGGAGGGGCCATTCAGCATCCACATGTGCCTTGCTTCCCAAGTCGACTTCTTGTTCTCAGTTGTTCTCTCCCAACAGCTCTGCACATACATGCATCTGGAACAGGCCCCAGCTGTTCTTCCTCCTCACTTATCTCAGCCTCCAAAGGCAGCTGCCTCTTCGGTGGCTGGGAAATGTCAGATGGCCCTGGCTCTATCTCTGCGTCCAATGCAGAGCATCCATCAGAGCCTTCCCCAGACTCCAGAACTGGCCCAAGTTCCTCCCAACCTCCTCCTCATCCAAGTCTGGTGGGCCACAACACAAATAGCCCAAGCCTGCAAAGATGAAGTGAGGAAAGCTAAGGCTCACAATGAACAAAGGCTTGCAGCAAAAGTAAAAAATAACAACAACAACAAAAAAAAAGCTTATTCCAACATTCTAAAAACAAGAAAAAAAGTCAAGGAAACAATTGGTCCATTGCTAAGAAAAAGTCGCAAGAAGGTGATAAGCAACAGGAAAAAAGCAGAACTACTTAACTTGTTTTTTGCATCTGTCTTTAAACAAAGAGAAAAAACAGTCCAACCTATCAAAAACAGCACTACAAAAAACAGATTAGGAACACAAGTTAAAATAGGGAAGAAAATGGTAAGTGAGCACCTGTCTACCCTAGATGAGTTCAAATCACCAGGACCGGATGGATTACACCTCAAGGTTCTGAAGGAACTGGCAGACGAGATCTCAGAACCACTGAACTATATCTTTCAAAGATCCTGGAGCACCTAGGAACTGCCAGAGGACTGGAAAAGAGTTGATGTAGTCCCCAATCTTCAAAAAAGGGGAAAAAATAGATCCAGGAAACTACAGACGTATTAGCCTGACCTCAATACCAGGGAAGATTCTGGAAAAGATAATCAAGCAACGAATCAGCTAACACCTAGAAGCAAACAAAGTAATAACCAAAAGCCAACATGGGTTTCTCAAAAATAGATCATGCCAGACTAATCTTATTGCATTCTTTGACAAAGGGAAAAAATTAGTGGATCAGAGGAATGCTGTTGATATAATTTACTTGGACTTCAGTAAGGCATTTGATAAAGTAGACCATGACCTACTACTAGATAAAATAGAAAAATGTGGGTTAGACAGCATCACCACCAGATGGATTCGTAACTGGTTGACCAACTGCACTCAACATGTTGTCCTCAATGAAAGTGCATCTACATGGAGGGAAGTATGCAGTGGGGTACCCCAAGGGTCTGTTTTAGGCCCAGTGCTCTTCAACATCTTCATCAATGATTTGGACAAGGGGATAGATAGGGAACTCATCAAATTTGCAGATGACACCAAGCTAGCAGGAATAGCCAACACTCCGGAAGATAGGCTTAAGATACAGAAGGATATTGACAGACTTGAACATTGGGCACTATCTAACAAAATGAAATTCAATGGTGACAAAAGTAAGGTTCTACATTTAGGCAAGAAAAACAAAATGCACAGGTACAATATATGTGATACCTCATTCAATAGTAGTAACTGTGAGAGGGATCTTGGAGTACTAGTGGACAACCATTTAAATATGAGCCAGCAGTATGCAGCAGCTGCCAAAAAAGCCAACACAATTCTAGGCTGTATAAACAGAGGGATAGAATCAAGATCACATGAATTGTTAATGCCACTTTATAATGCCTTGGTAAGGCCACATTTGGAATACTGTATCCAGTTTTGGTCGCCACGATGTAAAAAAGATGTAGAGACTCTAGAAAGAGTGCAGAGAAGAGCAACAAAGATGATTAGGGGACTGGAAGCTAAAACGTATGAAGAACGGTTGCAGGAACTGGGTATGTCTAGTTTAATGAAAAGAAGGACTAGGGGAGACATAATAGCAGTGTTCCAATATCTCAGGGGCTGCAACAAAGAAGAGGGAATCAAGCTATTCTCCAAAACACCTGAGGGTAGGACAAGAAGCCATGGGTGGAAACTAATCAAAGAGCGAAGCAACCTAGAACTAAGGAGAAATTTCCTGACAGTTAGAACAATTAATCAGTAGAACAACTTGCCTCCAGAAGTTGTGAATGCTCAACACTGGAAATTTTTAAGAAGATGTTGGATAACCATTTGTCTGAAGTAGTGTAGGGTTTCCTGCCTGGGCAGGGGGTTGGACTACAAGACCTCCAAGGTCCCTTCCAACTCTGTTATTCTGTTCTGTTATTATGATTTTCTTCTTAACCAAATTTTAACCCATATTTTGGAATATCAGGAAATATGCTAAGCCTGTATATGACTTATATTTCTATAGAAAGACATCTCTCTATAAAGATTTATCTTGCAGATTTTAAAGATAATTGAAATACATAACAAGGTTGGAAGGCAATAAATGGCCAGTTGGGATGTGCCAAGCATGCAATCACTCAAATGTGGCAGTACTAACATGATTTTATTCTGGAATTAGCAATGTGGTGCCTTGGGCAACATTTTATCTAATGAATCTCTTTTACAATTTTTGAAATCTGCTATGAGTCTCAGTATCAGACAATAAGTTTATTTAATTGTTCTGATACAATGTTAGGTTGAATGCCCACGAATATCTGCTTTTTAAATTTTACACATTTTCTCAAGGCAATGCATTATTTTATCCCCATCTCCCACCTTTCATTGCATATTTAAATTCATTAAATATGTATCATAAATAATAAGATGACACAAGATGAAAAGACCTAACTCTCTAATTGCCTTTCTACATATTTTATCATTAGATGTGAAGGGCAATTTATCTAAGAGCTGTATCATAAGCACAGAGTGTTGGATTGAGATTTAAGCCTTGATTTATTTAAGTGGTTCCTCTTAAGCGTAAGTAAGGGCATTTCCTCTCAGAGCTTCAAATCCACTCTGAAAACAAGTTAAAGGCACTTACTCTTATAGCTTCAAATCCATTCTGGAAACAGGTTAAGCCAACTATTGATCAAACAATGATATTGTTGGGCATTTTTCATCATGACAAATGGCAAGGTTTGTGCAGGTAAGAGACATTGCCTGGATTCACATATCACATTTTTTGGGGTCTCCACAAACCTAATCTTCACAGCAAAAGGAGGTTGGAACTTGACATGACACTATCAACTCATTGATGGAGGGCTTTGATCCTTAAGTGCTCTGATAGCATGGAAGATATCATGGAATTATAGTGACATAAATATAAATTTGAGACCACTATGTTTTCGTGATGATAACATATGTCCTGATCATCACATAAACGTATTACTGTAATATGCTCTACATGGGGCAACCTTTAAAAATGGAATCAACCTTGCCATTTTATAATAACAAATTATGAAGTCATGGCAGTGGCTAACAGTGCACTTCTAGTGCTGATTATCAACCACAAACCCTATAATGGTGTAGCAGAGGAATACATCACTTACTGTCTTGCAAAAATTGAATCTTCCTGTCTAGTTAAATCATCCTGAGAGCACCTAAGTGTCCCTTCCATGCATGAGGCTAGATGGATGTGGACTGGGCAACCAATCTTTTATGTTGTGGTTTCTCTGTCTCTTTTATATTAAAAGTAGATCAAAACTTTATTCTGTCGAGCTTTTAATTCTAGTGGATTGTTTGGAGGCATCCACCTTGGGTGGATTGACTAAATTTATATTCTGGTTTTAGGTGTTTGATTTCTTTTATGTTTCCCAAAGCCTTCAGATTAGGGTGGGTTACAAAAATC